CTCTCTCTCTCTCTCTCTCTCTCTCTCTCTCTCTCTCTCTCTCTCTCCCCTCTCTCTCTCTCACACACATCACCTTCCCCCATCTATATTTTCTATCCATTGCTCTTGGTCTCTGAAATCACCAGGTTTTCTACCTTCTATGTTACTCTCTCAAAAGGAATAGCCCCTCAGGTTGAACTTTGGGAGGAGATGCCCTGATGAGAATTCTATGTTTTTTTCAGGATTCTGGCTGATTAGAAGCTATGTGGAAATATTCTACTAATGCTAAAAGATTCCAAAATAGGTGAGTTTTCTTTTTAATTACATAGAGAAGTAAACAAAAATGCATAGGGAAAAGCTTACAGATAAGTAAGAGGAAGGGGGCCTAAGAATGCAGCATGAAGAAAAAAATTACATCCTGAGAACAATGGAAAGAGGAGCCTTGAATGTAGGTGCAGCAAAAAATACAGATGGAAGGCTGGAGGTGAGGATGTAGAGTAGGAGTCAAAGTTCAGAGTTGCACCATCTTCAGTCCTAAGCCTTTGATAACCATCCACTTTGGATTTTCATTAACCCCGATGAAGCCCTTGCACTAAGAACAGCATTAGTAGGGACTGAAACCACAAATAAGAGTCAGAGCTGGGTTTTTGGAAATGGTGGTACGGAGCTTTTATTCACAAGATTCACAAGGCTATAATGCAGGGTAGACAGAGAAGTGTACACAATAAGATCTGTGTTCTTGACTTCTGTGGGGTGGGGAGCTTCCCCTTTACAGGTTTTGATCAACCAAGTATTAATAAAGAAGGGCATCCTGGACCTCAGCCATAGAAGATGTTTTGAACAGGTATTTTTCTGCAATCAGGGAAACTCTAGGACCAACCTGTTTTAAGGTTTAAAATGACAGCATGTAGACATATTCTCAAGAAAAAGGAAAAGAATTTTGAGAAAAAGGAGAGAAATATTGATTTAGTGCTGACCATTAAAAGACTCATTAATTCTAGGTTAATGAGTTTGAATTTGGTCATTTGACAATGAAGGGACCATTTAAGGTTTTAATAAGAAAATTGCATTTTCGCATCTTTTAAAAAAATATCAGTTCCACTTTGGTTAGAGATGATTTAGAGATAGGCTAGGGATAGATTAGAATGCAGTTATTACAGCATAATAATGTGATATCTTGTGCCTGAAGTGTGGAAGGAAATGAAGAAAGGTGCCAACAGAGGCACTTTGGGATCAATATTTTCATCAACTGTTATCTTGTTTAATGCAGTGGGCCAAGGAAAAGGAGGAGGCAAAGTAATATAGGGATTTTAAGTCTCAGTCTTGGGCATAATGATGATATCATTATCAGAGGAAAAACAGATGAAAAGTAAATCTGTGTGGTAGAGAAGTAAATACGAATTCCATAGTTTCAAGAAACACAGTGGATTTGATTCTGAAATTAATTGGTAAAAAATTACTTTCAGTGAATTAAATTCCTTCAGGGAGAAAAGCAATGCTGAATGGATTGAAGAATGAAGTAGAAGGAAGAAACATGGAAGTCCAGCACATCTTGATGAACAACTCCAAGGATATCCATTTTTCTGGGCATTTATCTTTCATCTGGATGAGCAGATGGAGGAAATTAGTAACTATGGAGTTAGGGAACTGGGAATCATAGAGAGATAGTGAAGGCTCAAGACCATAAAAAAAGATTGGGAAGAGGCAAAGGTTGTGGTCTAATGAGTAAGTGGTTTACTCTGGAATGGGCATAAGAATTGAGGAAGTAGTGACAAGGAGAGTTTTGTCTCTTGAAAAAATGTTACCCATGAATTGAACAGAGATTTATAGCTTTAATGTGAGGAAGAGTGCTAGACACAGGTATAAAGGAATATAAACTGTACGTTTGTCTTTTTTTGCGGGCCAGGGGCCCTACCATCTAGGCAGCAGTGCAGCATGGGAGGAGACACCCACAACAGCTCAGGGTTGCCTCCTTTCACCTTGACAGGGCTCCCAGGGCTGGAGGCCTCCCAGCACTGGATGATTTTGCTCCTTGGACTCCTCTACACTGTCTCAATCATGGGCAATAGCCTGATCCTTTTCATTATCAAGGAGGAGCAGAGCTTGCATCAGCCTATGTACTATTTCCTGTCCCTGCTCTCAGTTAATGACCTGGGTGTGTCTTTCTCCACGCTGCCCACAGTACTGGCCACATTTTGCTTCCACATAAGAGAAATCAGTTTCAATTCCTGCATGGTCCAAATGTTCTTTATTCATTTTTTCTCTTTCATCGAGTCTGGGATCCTGCTGGTCATGAGCTTTGACCGCTATGTGGGCATCTGTCACCCCCTGCGCTATGCTACAGTGCTCACTGATGCCCGTGTGGTGCAGATGGGCATATCTGCTATTATCCGCAGTTTCTGCATGATTTTCCCTCTGCCTTTGCTTCTGTTGAGGCTGCCCTTCTGCAAGGCCAACGTGCTCTCCCATGCCTACTGCTTGCATTCAGATCTGATCCGCCTGCCCTGTGGTGATGTCACCATCAGTAATATCTTTGGTCTATTTATTGTCATCTCTACCTTTGGCCTGGATTCTGCACTCATTCTCCTCTCTTATGTGCTCATACTGCGTTCTGTGCTTGCCATTGCCTCCAGGGAGGAACGACTGAAGACGCTCAACACGTGTGTGTCACACATGTGTGCTGTGTTCATCTTCTATGTGCCCATGGTTGGCGTGTCCATGGCTGCTCGCTATGGGAGGTATGCCCCACCCTATGTACACACACTCATGTCCCTTATTTATCTATTTGTGCCTCCGATGCTCAACCCTGTCATCTATTCCATCAAAACCAAAGAGATTCGGCGAAGGCTTTGCAAAATTCTTCTGAGAAGGAAGTTTTGAGCAAGAGACATGCTGAAAACCCAGGTCCTGAGGATGTTTCCCCTTATATCCACAAATTGAAGCTTACAAAACTTGCTTTGATAAGGAATTTTAAATATGCCTCTGTCATGTATGTTACTGTTGGGATTCCTGTCATGAGATGTTTGATGACAGCCTGGCAGTCATTCATAAGTAAGCCAAAAGCATTTCATGGTAAAGTGGGCCAGAATTTATTGAAAAATTTTGTTCGGCTTACTTCTTTTAATACAGGAAATTAGTGTCAGTTTGGAAACAATTTGTAATGCAGAAAGGATTTTCAAAATTAAAGATTATGTTCAAGAGATGTTATAAGATGACACACATAGAATCATGATGTATGCCAGTATTTATTTATTTATTTATTTAATATACCATATACTATTTACGTGAAGTAAATGTAATTGCAATGATCAAGATTTTAAATAATATTAAAATTTGGCAAAGGTTATATTATGATTTAAATTGTATGTCTTTGTGTATTCAGCAACAAGAAAATAATACAGTAGAATTACTATAGTACATTGTGTAAAATCCAATATGTTCTCCCAAAATTCATGGTCTTATAAGACTATGGGGGTATAACTTTATGACAAAAAAGATAAAATTAAATAAATAAAATATTCAATTTAAGACACTATGAAAAAATAAACACTTTGAAAATGATTGAAAATACTTAAAGTTACAAATTAATATGAAAGGAAAAGAGAAAACAATTTAAAAAGCCTAATTTTTTAACAAGGTTGTAAAACTGATGAACATCTGGAAGATGAAATCAAATGAATATAAAACATCACACATATTAACAGTATGGAGGTATTTGTAAATTATGGAGGAAAGATCTAGGAATAATTTAAATCTTGACTAAATTGATATTTTGGGAAAAATAATAAAATGTAAACATATGAAGAATTAAATGATGATTGAGGAAGAAATAATTAATTATAAAACAATTATTCTGCCTCTTACATCTAAAACATTATAATACAAGATCTTTTCCTTATTCTTCCAACAAAATTTTAAGAAATTTTACAACTTGTAGTATATTAAATGATAAACAATATTGCAAAGCTATACAACCTTGTAAATATAGGCCTGATAAGTTACATGGAAAAAAAATATATCAGCAAAAAATACTATAGACTAAACACACTGATGACAATATATGTATAAAGAGTAGAAGTTGTGAAGTCATTGAAACAACATGGAAAAAAGAATGATGCACATATATTTTAGAATAAAAAATTATTTTCTGAAATGTTGCAATATGAAACTTATCAAGTAAGAAGTGTGATAATAAATTTGTAATCACCTATAAATTTTTAAACACATGAAGTGAAAAATGATACATTTTAGCTTAAAATCATTTTATTTTCTGTAGATTTTCTTAATGTTCAATACCATACAATTTCTGGCTAAAATAAGAGAAAAACAATTTTTCCTTTTTTTTTTTTTTTTTTGGTCTGAGGGATTAAATCCAGGGTCTTTAACCATGAAGTCACATCCCCAGACATTTTTATTTTTTTTTTAATTTTGAGATAGAGTTTCACCAAGTTGCTTATAGCTTTGGTAAATCACTGAGGGTGGCTTTGAACCTGGGATCATCTTGCCTCAGCCTCCTGGGTGGTTGGGGTAACAGGTGTGCATCACCTTATCTCGCAATTTATCCATATGATTGAGCATCTTTATATACCTGATTTTTAAATAAATCAGTAATCAATATTATAGAACTTGAACAAGAAATGAGCTATTTCTTCTATTCTTTTATATGTATCTGCACATTAAATCCTGACAACCCTAATTAGACTTTGATGTATTCAATCTTTGCCTGTCAATCACCATTATTTCTTTATTTTATTTTATTTTATTTATTCTATTTTTACATATGACAGCAGAATGCAATTCAAATCATATTACACAAATATAGCACAATTTTTCATGTCTCTGATTGTACATAGAGTCCCACCATTAGTGTTTACATACATGTATTTAAGGTAATGATGTCTGTCTCATTCTATCATCTTTCCTATCCTATGCCCCCTCCCTTCCCCTCCCTCACCTTTGCCCTATCTAAAGTTCGTCTATTCCTCCCACACTGCCCCCTCCATTCCCATTATGAATCAGCATCTTCATATCAGAGAAAATATTTTGAATTTATTTTTGGGGGATTGGCTTACTTCACTTACCATTATATTCTCCAACTCCATCCATTTACCTGAAAATTCCATGATTTTATTCTCTTTTATTGCTGAGTAATATTCCAATGTGTATATATACCACATTTTCTTTATCCATTAATCTACTGAAGGGCATCTAGGTTGGTTCCACAATTTAGCTATTGTGAATTGTGCTGCTATAAACATTGATGTGGTTGCATCACTGTAGTATGCTTTCTCTTCTGAATTCCTCTGTGCCAAGTCATGACTGGCCCTGGCCCAGGACAGCTCTTTGTGCAAGGATTTGCCTCTATACCTGGACTTGGAGCTCCCTGCAGCCAGAGCTGACACTTTTCTTCTGGTATCACCTTGTGGACATGGTAATAATTTTTCCTTCACTTGCTTTCCTGGGTAAAATGTCTCTCCCTTAGTTCATCACAGGTTTATGGCTGTGCCTCCAGCTGAATAGTCTCAATATAATGTAAATGAATAGGAACGAAATCACTAAATGTCTACAATATGCCAAGCACCTACGCTAGACTTATTTTCACTCCTCATCACTGTGGCATGAAACAGATGCCGTTTTTTTTTTTTTTTTGTTAATTCAACAAAGAATATGACACACACCAATATGATCCATAACACTTTTTCAACAATATTGATAGACTAAGTTTTAATTATGTGTATGTCACAGATGCAATGCTGCTGTGTTGAGGTTTTGAAATGATAACAAATTAGCAAATAGAGAAATGCTACAGATGAAGTCATGTAGATATAATGAAATAGAGTATGCTTTTGTATATTTAAGGATTATTCACCAAGTACTTCTCCACTCTGTATTGAGTGCTTGCTTTGTTTCAGATTCTATAATGAACACTTTACTGGGGCTGGAGACAGTTAGGTCTGATGTTTAATTCATGGTAAACTAGGAAGCTGAGATTGAAGTTCATGGTCATGTGGATCCATATTTCATATGATTATCCATGATAAAGTGCAAGAAAAAGTATGAGATATTATCCATATAAAAGGAATGACCTTAGACTATTAGTTCCTCTGAATTACAGGCTGTTAATTTAAAATGCAAAGAACAGTTGGCAGGAGTATGAATATTTTAGCACCAAGAGTGATGAAGAACTGAAGGAATATTAAAAAGAAGAACTTGGATTCAGAGCCAGCTTCCCTGCATCTGAAAAATGGGATGACTTCATGGCTAAAAAGAAAGGGACCTCAAAATGAAAGATGGGAGGAGGAATGGGGATGAGAGAAAGAATGAAGAAATTGTGGTTCCATTAAGCACTGGTCATATCTTAAGACTGTTCATGAATGATAGAGTTGCTATGTCACATAGTTATCACAATAACCCTGTGGAGTGAGACAATAGAAGAAAGGTCTCAGAAAAGTTTTACAGTTTGATCAATAATGTCAAAAAGGATTCATAACTTAAGTTTTCAAAATTTAATAACTCAATGTATTCCTCACCACAACCTTAAGAGTTTGATGTCATTATTATCCTTCCTTAAAAATTGTCCAAACTCAGGCATAGAAACATTTAGCAACATGCTAGAGTCACAAGTTTAGTAAGAAGATGAGCAAAAATTCAAATCCAGGAACTCTGGATTTGTGCCCTTAACTGCTACCCTATGTGTTGGAGTTCAGTTACAAATTCACTCTAAACACCTTTTTCACTTTTTTTTTTTGGCTTTTAGATTCATAAGAAATTATTCCTATTATGAAACTATCTTATTTTAGAAGCAGAAACTTATTTGCTCCTTAGTATGTCATAGCCACTTTTGAGAAAATAGTGACAATATTATCATCTTTATGGGCTATTCAGAATTTTTCAAGGAGCTGTGGAAACATAATATGTTCAATGTGATAACCAGTCTCCCATTTCATCAGGTCAGTCCACTTCCTTCCAGAATTTCCAACCACATTAACCCAGTCTTGTCATATCACAGATCTCCATTCATGTAAATGCATCTAGCAAGCAATCTTACCCATTTATTATTCTTATCTCCAAGGTCTACTAGAATTCATGTTGAGATCTTCCCCAAGAGAAACAGTCTTAGAAGTCGACTCCGAATCTCCTTGGTTCTAGCTCCATAGATAATGGGATTGAGTACAGGAGGCACCAGCACATAGAGATTTGCCAGAAAGATGTGCACATGCTTGGGAACTCGGTTGTGACCAAAGCGGTGGGTGAGGAAGGAGAAGAAGGCAGGGATGTAGAAAACGAGGATGACACCAAGGTGGGAGCCACAGGTACTCAGAGCCTTGCGTCTGGCATCTTGAGATGGCAAACAAAAGACAGCATGGAGGATAAAGCCATAGGAGATGGCAATGAGGATGGAATCCAGACCCACAGCCAGAAGGGCCACAGTCTGCCCATAGACAATATTGACAGTGATGTTGGCACAGGCCAGCCGAGCGATGCCCATATGCTCACAGTATGTGTGAGCCATGACATGGTGGCCACAGTAGGGCAGTCGCCTCAGCAGGTAAATGAAAGGGGAGACAATAGCTACACTCCGGAATACACCAACAATGCTAATTCTGCCTATGACAATATGGTTGAGAATGGTTGTGTATCTCAGTGGGTTGCAAATAGCCACATATCGATCAAAGGCCATGGCCAGGAGAACTGAGGATTCCAGAGCATAGATAGAATGGACACAAAACATCTGGGCCAGGCATCCAGTAAAGGAAATCTCACCTGCATGGATCCACAAAATGGCAAGTGTTTTGGGCACTGTGGTGGAGCTGAGAGCCAGGTCAGTGAGTGAGAGAAGACAAAGGAAGAGGTACATGGGTGTATGTAGGCCACTGTAT